TTCAGATACCCTCTAGGACCATCCGATCCTAGGGTTGAGTATATTCCTGTTAAAGAAATGAGGCTCGTATACTTATGGCTACCTGAGGCTATCTTTGTCTGATGTTATTTAGTATTTGGATTCTAATTAATAATTCCTGTTGTTTATTATTCAGAATGTTATACCTGCTTCCTTCATATTTTCACTCAATCACACTGAGAGGCTTAAAGGTCACAGAATCCAAATAGGAACTGAATCTGCAGGCCATCAGCTGTTATAAAGATATCTTTTTCTATTCACTTGTCCATCTATTTTCTTGACTTATTTCTTTTTTTAAAAAAGTTCTATTAAGAAATAATTGAGGGAAAAAAAAAAGAAACAATTGAGGGCTGGGGATTTAGCGCAGCGGTTCTGCCACCTGCTGCGTAAGCGCAAGGTCCCGAGTTCAATTCCCAGTACCAAAAAAAAAAAAATCGAGCCTGGTATGGTGACACATGTCTGTAACCAACGCACTCTGGGAGGCTAAGGAGGGAGGATCCCAGGTTTGAGGCCAGCCTGGGCAACTTAGTGACCTAGTGAGACTGTGTCTAAAAAAAAAATTAATGGGGCTGAGGATGTAGCCCAGGGTTGGCCCTGGATTCAACCTCCAATGCTGTTTTTTTTAAAAAAGACATATATTAAGCCACACATATTCAAGTGTATAAAATGAAAAGTTTTGGTGTGAAACCATCATCACATCAAGATACTGAACATACCACTTTTTCTCCTTGCCCCTTGGTAATCCTCCTCTCCCTTACCTTGCTACACCCTCTACACCTGATTAAAATACTATCTGTCAATATAGATTAGCTGCATTTTCTATAATTTGTAATAATTGGAATCAAATAGTATAGATTTTTTTTGAGGGGGGGAATGGCTTCTTCCACATAGTGTAACTGTTCTGAGATTCATCCACTTTGTTACAAATATTGCTGAGTATTATTCCATTGTATAGACATACCATATCATACTTGTTGATAACTACTTTAGAAAACAATTTAGCAGCTTCATAAAGTCAAATATCCACCCCTAACATATGATGCAAACAATTTAAATCCTAGGAGTTTATCCATGAAAACAGAAAGCATACACCCATATCAAGACCTGTATATTAATATTCACAGTATCTTTATAAATAGTAACTAAATACAACCCATTTCCATCTACAGCTGCACAGATAAACAAATTGTAGTATATTCATAAAAAGATATACTAATTAGCAATAAAAAGGAATAAACTATTGATAGATACATTTCGGATGTATCTCAAAATAAGCTGAATAAAAGAAGCAAAACAAAAAATGAGTACTTGGGCAGGGGTGTAGCTCAATTGTAGAACAAGAGAGCGGCCCTGGGTTCAATCCCTGGTACCAAAAAAGAAAAAGAAAAAAATCAAATACTTATTTATTGCCTTGTTTTAAAATAACTACCGCTTGTTGCCCGTGAACTAGTACAAACAATCAACAAGTAGGATCTCTTCTTATTAAAAAGCTTCTGACTAAGATGCATCATGTTCTGGTACAAACACCCAATGATAAATGTAAATGCATTTTATACCTAAAATGTACCAATAAA